CGGATATTATGTTCAGGATTGGAAGTTCCCGATGAGACGACCGAGACTGCTGCTGCTCGAAATGGAGAGAACTTGGGATATAACGTGTAGAAAACAGTTGAAAGGTGAGACACCAATCAAACTACAAAAACAAATTTGAAAACGTGAACCAAAGAAAATAAAAAAAACATTCTGCTCATGATTGAAAAATCAACATCCAAAACAAAACATGTCTTAAAGAGTATGGTTCCGTCGTGGTAGTAACATTTTTTTTCAAATTCATTTAAGCGAATACGTGAATTGAAAGATGTTCCAACCTCAACTTCAATATCCTAAAACAAAAACACTCAGTATTCAGAATTCCATCTTTCAATATTCGAAGTTCATATACATCAAAATTGATACGATCACAGGATATAGAAATATAAAACATTCTCCAAATACGCAAACTTTGCACAGGTTGCATACTCAGCAGTTTACTTTTTAGTATAGTGACCGGATCAAAGTTGCAATGTCAGTGTATAAATCTTCATAAATATTGAGGGGGTCAAGATCATAGACATACAGTATTGAGAAATTCATTCAGTACCTGTTGATCCTCAGAAAAGGTTTCAATCCTGCTGGCTGACAGTTTTTGGTGATTTATCGTATTATTGGTTAACATTTTAGTGTACGTTCATTCCTGAATCAGGTTTGTAAATGAGTTCTTTCATTATTTGGACAAGTGATGAATGGGTGGAACAGCAAATAAAAATCCTCGCGTTAATAAGCCAAGCGAGTACTGAGTTGCGACAATAGCCTTTACCCCCCTCTTTTTCCACCATCTCATTTTCTTCTGAACATATTTTTGGTTGTCCATAACTTGTTTTCTTCTATGATTCAATGTTCAGCGAGTAGCCTCATAATTGTTATGAGCCTATTCCTGCTTTGTTTCTTTTTCACACGGCCTCTTTATAAAGTTATTTCCATGTGTGTTTCTCGGTATGTCTTCCCAGTACTCTGCACGTTTTCTGTAGACCCACTTCCCCATCTTGTTCCGTACCAAAGATATTGGTACTACACAGCTATTTCAGAGCATCTATATAGAGTTGAGGATCCCTGTCTTCGTTTCCTGTGAATCCTGTGTACTCCTATCAGTATATACTGAATCTTTTTCTTCAGTTTTTCACGAGATTCCAGACCAGTTGGTCAGTGCCCCATATGCATTCTAGCTATATGGACAAAACTGTTGGAACAACGTAATATCATCGGGATAATATATCGTGTGTGCTTCTAGGTCTTTTTTTTTGGTCCCTTGGGAGCTGTCTGACTTGTCCATTCAGTCCAAGTCTCTAGAAAACACTGCATTCTCTTGGGCTCTTGAGCGTTTGTTCTCCCATCTTCTCAAGACACCCATTCCATCAGTCTCATTCCCTGTACTAGTTTCTACAGGTTTCGTGTTGGATCATATTCTTCTGGACGTAATTTTGTACGCCCATACATTGCCTGCTTCCTGTGATTCAGTGCCTTACATTCGCATAAGATGTGTAGAGCTGGTACTTTTGTCCAGTACTTTGTGTGCTTCTTATTGTTCCATGTCCTAATCTGGTTTCGTACCAATGATTTTGGTACCCCCCGAGGTGGTTCAGGACCTATATATGAAGTTGATGATCCGTGTCTAGCGTATTCCTCAGCTTTATCATTACCTGTGATTTCTGAATGCCCTGGCACCCAGTACAAAGTTAATTTGTTCCTGTTTGCAAGTTCATTCAGTTCTTCATGGCATTCCCAGACCAGTTTTGCTGTCACCTTTGGGTTTGTCAGAGCCCCTAGTGCGCTCCTGCTGTCTGTTAAAATATTGATCCGTTCTAGGTCGTTACAGATGTTGAAATATCTCATCAGTATTCATTTGCGTAAGCTATACAGACAAAAGGTACCAATATAAAGTCTTGTGGAACATCTTTAGGTTTTTTGAAGTATCCGAATATGATGGATGCAGTTCAACGTTTTAATTAATTAGAAAATACTCTAGAAGGAGCATGGTTACATCTTTGACGCCATATTCCGATAAATTTATAATCAGTAGTTTGTGATCGACGCAATTGAAGGTTTGTTAGGAATCATGAAAAAACCCATCATAAATCTCTTATTTTCCAGGTGTTTCACAACATTGATCTGAAATTTGGGTTTCCCATAAATGTGATCTTTTTGGTAACTCTCCCTTTTCTGCATAACCTGCAGAAAATATCTCCGTTATGCAGCTCTATTTTGTTCAGCTGTCCTTCGAATGAAGCGTAGCCAGTGAGCAGCTCTGCATTATTTTATGCCCGTCTTAACTCTGTTGGCGAAGTTCTTCAGTTTTTCAGAAGAAAGTGGTAAAAATCTTGTGAAAAAAGCGACTGAAATGAATCACAGGAAGTTATTTTTGCACATCTGTTTCATCAGAACGAAATGCTTACGAAAAAAAATTCTAATAAATCCAATCGTTAGATTGATACGCACATAAACGAATTAATAAACATTTATAAGAATGAATTCTATACTTTCCTTTGAAGTCAAAGAAATTTATACCACGAAATTTATGTTGTTTAACGAAATCAATTCGATAAACTCTTTCAGAACCTATAAATGTTTCAATGTTCCTTTGATTCCGTTTTATATACGACAACTCGTTAGTAGCTTTTCTTTTCAAATACCGGCTGACAATAAACATGTGAATGAAAAAGTTTTTCGCACGTTTGCAAACTTTCCAACGAGCTAGCATACACTTCAAGTAAACATTCATTTTTTATGGTCCCAGAGCGTGATAATACGCCCATTCAAGTAAAAAACTCCAGAGAAGAGTGTTTCATTCGAAATTTTATATTTAGAAAGACATCAACGTATATTGTGAGGAGGGCGATTCTCCTTCAATCGTATTTGGGAAGGTGAGATTCAAAATTCAATTTGCTCACTTGCTCAAAAACTTGAATAAGACCAAGACATGAAAGAAAAAAGAGACAAAATAAAGTTCTTTCGACCATCACCAAATGAGATTGCTCGACATCGACATACATTGACTTTCTTTTAGTGGAGAGTTTCAAGTTTTTAAGCATCCTAATTGAAAAAAAAATCAAGACGAGTACACTGCGTTAAAGCAAGCACACCAACTGATGTGATACCCAATTTTGCTTGCCAAATTTCTATGCCTGCTTGACTGCATCAACATGTGGATCTGTTTTCCAGCGGCATTCTAGACCTTCCATAATTTCTTCTGACGCAGTTGAAGATTAATCAAACCTCCAACGCCGCCTTAAGAACTTGGGCGTCATACCAGTAGGTGGTTCCACTTATGTCTTGCTTGTTTTTACGCAAGCCTGCCTGCTCAGTATTGATGATGCCCAACAAGCTGAAACAACTGTCAAATGAGATTGAAATCAAATTGGGAATGTTGTTTCAGCGTGGTCTTCTTGGATTGTATTACATGCTCAAGTGGCATCCCAGGTATAGACCCCACTTGTCATATTCAGGTGCTCTGTTTGATTGCTGATACTGATACTTGTCGATACTTGTCGATGCTTGTCTATTCATGAGTTGTGGCGTGGAAAGTCCTGATTGTTCGGCGGTGTGCATGTTTGACGAGAAGCGTTCCGATTATTTTGTGGGGTATCTGAGGTATCGATTCCTTACACCTTAGCTTGGGTAGGCTGGTCCACGGTGGACCAGCCTTGGTTACCTAGGTTTTTATGTTGTGTCGTTTAAGAATCCCTCCTATTTTATCTGTAGCTCCTCTGACGTAGGACTGGATGGCTTTGGTTTCTTTTGTCTTTGTTTCCTCCTCGTTTTCCTTCTTTCTTCGGTGTGTTGCTTTGTGAATCATATGATTTTCATATCCATTCTGTGTTCGTCTGTCAAACGTTCAAATCTGAATAAAGGAGTGTTGGCTAATACAGTTTGTATTTGTGCAGCATGATGTGCATGATGATGATTTGATGATGATTTGACTCCGCTCCGGTTAGTATGAGTTAGTTTTCTGTAGACTTTATGCTGAGCTCCACCATTGCGTTTTCTTCTAACTAGTACATCGAGAAACGGTAACTTATTGTTTCCTTCTATTTCTGTAGTAAACTGGATTATCTCGTGGACTGAGTTTAGGTATACCACGAATCGGTCAAGTTCTTCATGTTCAGCCAAATGATGAATCTCGGCCATAATTTAGGTTTCATGGAAGCGTTGTTGGAGGCCTCGGTTTCGAAATAGCTCATGAATAGTTTGGAGATGACAGGTGATAAAGTCGAACCCATCGGAGCACCGTCTATCTCTTTATATAGTCTGTTGTTGAAGCTATTTATGTGCTTTTCAAGCAGTAGTCTGAAAGTTCAATAACGTAAGCAATTGGGAGGATGATCATACATCTTGAGACCATTATACAACATAAAATGTCTGAATAAAGTAGGTAGGTATAGAAAGTCTTGGCGTAGCATAATGAGAGGACATTGAGGGTAGTTTTTTTCAATGTTGATGAGTCGAACAAACTGTTTTCAGAATAAATGCAGAACAAATGTAGGCTATAGTCGAGTTGGAGCACATACACCCCAGAAAGGTATACCATAACTTGAATGCGGTTCTACCAATGAGTAATCGACCGTTTCATCTGCAATTAGTCGTAACTCTTTAGGAGTTATTTACACTGCCCAACATCTAGATTGAAGTTATTTATTGAGTAATAGTTTGTGGTCTACAAATACTCCAACTTATCAATAAATCAAATAATCTAAAAAAACAATTCGTTCAGGCCAGTCAGAAAACTACTACTTCCCTGGCTAATACCACGAAGGACGTTGAATTATATTCCATTCGATAATTAAAGGGTTGTGTACTTTTTTCTGAAGGTTTTTTCTCACGTTATATAAAATGTAATTTGAAAATTCAAAACTAATGAATTCATTCTGATGTTTATGGATTCCTATATCTTCTAAGGAAATGAAAATACCGCAATATGCAAGCTGCCTTACTCTATGATATAACACATCGCGAACAACAATAATTATAAACGGAATAACCCAAGATTCCAATCCACAAGGTAACTGTTTTAAAACCAGTCGCGACGGAAAAACCTCTTCATTTAGTGACAAAATGTTCAAGCATCAAGTCATTTTGTGGTGTCTCTTCGGCTTGTGTGTTGCGAAAGACGTAAAATTCACCAAATGCGGCGCCAATGGCTTCATCTGTAGTACGGCGGGAAAACTCCAAATCATTACCTATCGATGTCCAATTGAAGAAAAAGTAAGTAATATTCTTACATGTGCATATAACATTTTTCTACGGGTACATGATTGTTGATCAATACGATAAAAGTGGCTAAATCTCAAGTACGGAGTATGAAGTAATTTCGACTATAGATACTTCTCTACAACCGGCAATTTCAATAATTCGTTGAATCCCCAAAATTATTAAACAATTAGAATTAAATTCGTGACACTATCCCTATGCTGGTCATTACTACAATATACAAATGAAATTTCCCAGAGATCTTTCCTTAGAATATTCATCTTTTTAATTGCATAAAAGAGTGAAATTGCATTCATGTGAATAAGCAAACATTTGAAGTACATGAAAAACCCTCTAACATCGAAATATTCTTCGACGCAATGAAAACAATTTATATGTATTGAAGTAACAATTTATTGTGTTATTTCAACTGAATATGGTTTCACTATACAATGCTATACTATACAATACTATACAATGCTTGTTCACAATAACTAACTAGTAGTTTATATGATATAACAATTCGAATCATATAAGGAGTTCTTAATATTCTATGGATTCCCAAGTATTCCAGATAGTTGTGTGCAAAACCTTTCTCTTCCGAATGTAACACGTTATGATAGTAGTTGAACTAATGCCCCACTAACGAAAGATTGTTTGCACGTGTGAAATTGGTCTTTACATTAAGCAAAATAATCCTATGTTCTTTCATTCTTTGAAACACTGTTCTTCCCGTTTGACCAATATAAAGTTTTAGACAAGATCCACGAGTTAACTTATATACTGTTTATCAATCAGTAACTACGACTCTTCAAGTCAAAACCGTAAGGTTCAAGGTCACCAGGGGCTGTCCTCAAGGTAGGGTACTATCAGAAGGGGCTTGATGCTCTCGACAGAAGAGAAGATCTGCAATCTAATGCAGATGTCCTTGTCATCTTGGCAAAATCCACCTCAGAAAGGATAGTTTGTAATATCCTCCAAAGTACCATGGACGTTGTTCACAGTTGGTGCCAGAAGAAGCATGTCTGTCAACCCCAGCATAACTATGATAATCCCCTTCACCTGGAGGTGAAAGTTGGACGATTTAATGCCACTTTTCCTCAATGGTGAGGTCATTCCATTTGGCATTGTCCTTGATAAAAAACTCACCTGAAACGCTCACTTAGAAAAAGTTTCAAACGGAGCCAGACTGTCCTTATGGAAATGTCGAAGGATTTGTGGGTTTACTTGGGATTCAGGTCTCAAACAAATCCACTGGGTTTATGTAATGAATGTCAGACCAATAATCACTCAAAAAAAATTGCCTGGTGGCCGAAGGCTTTGCAGAAAACGATTCAGGCGAAGCTCCCTGGCTTACAGAGACAGGTTTGTTTGGCCATCTATGGTGCCATCAGTATCACACCGTCAGCGGCCATGGATTTCCTTCTAGATATACTTTCTCTCCACATTTTTCTGAAGAGAGGCTGCATATAGACTTGTTCACATTGCCAATTGCACAAATCAATCTAATGCAGATTACAATAGACTGCTGATTGATTCTGGAAGTCACAGCATTCTGTAGAAGACCTCCGGCATCATGCCTCCAACTGTCAGCTACAAACTGCCATATACAGTACTGTTTCCGAGTAGAGTGGAATAGATCTGCCTTGAGAAGAAAATTTCAAGAGCAGATAGTTGTTGGTTCACAGATGGATCATGAACACCTTCAGGTTCTGGTGCAGACCCAAGTCAATGATATCAACCTGCCTGTGAGCAGGTTAATACTATACTTTACTATACTATACTATTGAAATGTGTGCGGAGAGATTGGTAGAACCCAACCTCATACACAAGTCAATAAAAATAATCTCGAACAGTCAACGGCGTTGATAGCTCTTTACTCCTACCGAGCAACGTGTAAACTGATAGCAAATTGACAAAAACGACTCTCCTCAATAGAAAGACCTATCAAATTGGCCTGGATTCCTGGCCATACTGGCCTGGAAGACAATGAGGCTGCTGACTCCCTCGGAAAGGATGGGGCCGCAAATAACTTCATCGGACCAGAACTTGCCATGGGCATCGCTTAAGGCTTTGCCAAACAAACATTGAACACCTGGAGGATAGCATTCTCAGGATTAGCTTACTCCCCCTTCGAAGCTTGAAACGAAACAAATGTTGGACTACAGTAGGGTTGAACTACGATGCCTAACAGTCAGTCTCACAGGTCAATGTCGCCTGTATCATCATATACAGAGGCTCAGACTTTCGGAAGACAGTATGTGGCATACCTGTTTGGAAAATGATGAAACAGCAGAGCACATACGTTGTGCCCGCCCCGCTGCTGACCAAATCAGGTTATCAGAGTTTGGCAGAGCCGCTCTCTTACCATCTGACCTGTAAGATCACTGACCATATAGACTGATCGGCTTCGTTGAAAAGATGGGTTTGTTTGGTCGAGTTTGAATACAATAAACCCTTGCAGGTTGCGGTGGAGGCACAAATCAACCCACTCACTTCTGATCTAACCTAACCTAGGACATCTTTACACATCTGAATGAACCCTGATTTTCGATAATTGGGGACATCAAATGGGAGTTTATTATTGTGTCCCGAATTATATAGTAGAGCCTACTTCTCATGATACCTTTTGTTTTTCCAGGTTGGAATTGGACCTTTGGCCCACATGTTCCAATGTCTGCACTCTCAAAGGCATCTTAAGATCTAATGTCATGTGGCCGTTCTTTGGGGCACTTTGAGCAACACTGAATTTCTCTGGTCTACAAAACGGAAGATGTGAAATATGTTTCTTCAAACGCGTTATTATAATCCAGTCAATTTGACCAAAGTATTTTCTGTAACAATCCTCTCACGTCATTCGTAGTTTCAGGAATTTTCCTTTTATGGTTGCCCAATAGTTGTTGAAGTGCACGAGCACTTTTGAAAACCATTTCATTGGTTAATTTCTGTTAGAGATGACGCCGTGTTGCAGAGAAGTTACGTGGAAAGAAAAACTACGAATTCCAGGAACTTTAAAATGTGTGTGTTTTCATTTGATTTTTTTCAATGTTTGAGGTTTCAATTCCGCCAATCAAAATGAATCAACCCTTGACTTGCATTTCAGGACCTCCTCTTCAAAATAAACGACTTCGGGTACCCACCAAACGACATATCGCTGATAATCGAAAACTGCTTGGAAATCACAGTCTCCTTCCAATGTTCCAGCCAAGTCATATACATTAAATCCATGTTCATCAGAAACATAGGAAAGCTGAAAATACACCAAGATCCACAATACCAAACTCAGCTACCGTTCCAAGTGACACTCAAGAACGTAAACTACATTAAAGACATTCCAAGTTTTGCTTTCTCTAAGATCGATGTAGCTTCGCGCAATGTCGAATGTTTCACTCCCCTTTTCGATCTGAAGTTTCTTCATTTCGAGAACGTAGGTATCGGCAACTTTCAATCCAATGGAATTTATATGCCTAATAATGGCGGCAACGTTTTTTTCAATAAAGTTAACATCGGCAAGATGAGAAGAAGTGCGATTTCGATCAATATGTCGACTCCATACATTTTCCAAATGAAAAACAGTGCGATTGGCATCGTAGGAAACCAAGCAATGCAAGTGACTGGAGGAGGGATGATTTTCAGGTGAGGCCCTCAAGAGGTTTTCCAACAAGCTCAAGTAATAATTTGGTAATTTTAGCGTTCGTCAAAAATTTTAATTTCAACTTTTTTTTCTTTAATGCAATGATGCTACTCACCTACTAGTATATACCAAATATAGCTTCAGAATCATCTTCTCAGGGGCTTCAGTATTATACTTTATACATTCAAAGAACAAAATAACCCAAAAAAAGAAAGATGCATGATCAACGCATGATCAACACGAACATTCGAATCTATTAGATAAGATGAACAAGCCTCTTTGCGCTGGCCAGTCAGATTTAACTGCAATCGGCTGGCGGAATTCATTTCAAAATGTCAAGTACTGATACGGCTAAAAAAACTTCTTATGTGTGTCCCTACACTCAACCTAAAAATTGTTCCTATACCCAGTCGCATGTTATGAAAAAAATAAAATAAAATGTCGGTTGTTTCTCATTGCGACTCTGTACAAGCAGCCTCGTCTGGGAGACCACGTACACTATGCATGATAATGTTTTGGAGCCCCCTGTTGCTTAGATGGACAATGTTTAGTCCGGTCAATATCATGTGTTTTTGTAGCCTCATATCTCAATAAATATCTCAATATCTCAATAAATATAATTCTACACTAAAAATCTTGTGAAATAATTTAATATGTTGAAAGTTATCAACGTTTTTATGGACATAAAGAAACACAACTCAGTATTTACTATTTTATTTGGCAACGTTTCGGCTATTGATCATCGCCATCCTCGGGGCAACCAAAGAGATAGTTTGCATTTGAAAGAATATGATGTACAATTGAAACCGAATTTATGAAATTTTCTCAATAAATGTCACCATGGAATCTACCGTTTTGCACAAAACACGTCTTTAATAAAACTCATTGTGAAAACGTTATAATTATTATAATGGATAGTGTTATTGATTCTCATCCAGTACCGGTTCAGTGTAAAATTATATTTTTACGATTCTTTGACTAGTAGCTAGTTTCTCACAAAACCGCATTTGACTCTTCGGCGATGAAGAACTTTTTTACAGAATTGAAATCAAACTTGTTATTCAACTGAAAATGGTGCGTTCTCGAAGTTGTTTCATTGTTTTGTTTTCATATCAATCTCGGAACAATCATGTTCATGTTACCTAATTCTATTTTTCAACCATTGTTTAGTTTGACCAATGTAAATCATATCACAATTCATACATGGCATTCTATGAACTACATCAGTGATCTCTTTCAATTTGGGTTTTGTTTTCCGAAATTTTTGTAGTATACATAGTATCACCATTCACTAAAAAACGTATTAGTATTATTCACATAAATAAAACTCAATGCATAACTGTGACAGTCTCTACCTTTCCAGCAAAAACACATTCGTCGAAATTTCGGCTGCTGGAATAGGAGGCCCTGTGGACTTTTTTTACTTCAACGAAAACGCGATCGGCACTCTACAATCTCAAGGAATCTCTATAACATCCCAAACGGTCTGGATTTGGAAAAACGTCTTCAAGTACATGATAACTGGAGCTTTAGAAAAAATAAGTCCTGGACCTACAGCGCATAGTCTTGATGAAAAAGCCTCCTATAAATTTTACCTCAATAGAATAGACAGCATGGAAGAACGAAGTTTCCATCCGGATTTCCAAGCTTACGAGATGACACCCACAGAAATGTTCGTCAAAACAAACACAGTTTTGTGCTCCTGCGAAAACTCCGGTAAGTAGGATTTTCAATGCGGGACATATATACTATGATAAAATACAAAAAGGGCGGTCGAAAACATTTTGCGATGCAGAAGTGCCGGAGAAAAAAAATCTTTGCTGAAAAAAAACAACCACGTCAAATTTGTTTTGCTTTTTAAAATTCGAGCTTGGAAAATACCAACAATACGTTTTCCGAAAAATTCAAGAGAATCCAAGTATCACTCTCAATACTGATATATGCTAAAGTTATTTTCCGGGTTTGTTTGCCGTGGTGTTCAAGTTTCTGTATGTCGTTTCATCTACGACTGCGGTAGGTCGTTATCAAAAGCTATAAGGCAACGGACATAAGCGTGGATTTTCTCCCATCGATCAAATCAAATGACCGGATACGTGTGCGACCAAATACAGGTAGCCAGACCTCATTTATGTCAATTTTCTCTTCCTTGCGATTGAAATTATTATTGAGTTTCTGAAATTTTATCACCTTCCTGAATAGTCTTGGATGGTAGCACTGAACTCTGTCGAACACATGGGTGTCTTGATACTTTCACAGAGCGCATATGCTGATCTGTCAGCGACATCTCCGTAGTTCTAATCTAGATTGATCGCTAGCTACAAAAGATACACCAAACCCCCGGCCTTCTGGAATCCCTTACTGACCTTAGACTCTTTAACGCATATTTTTAGAATGACTGTACCCTTTATAGAACGGTGTCTGTTCAATTGCCAAAATTGTCGTTACTGGGACGATGCCAATTCTACGATGACAATTATCTACGAATTACACAGAACTTTCAAAAGGTTAAACATGTGAGCCGATATTCTTGGAAATTCCCATCTGAGTCCGTTTTCCTTTGTGCAAATGTAGATGACCACAGGTCTCCAGGTCACTGGAAAGGACAGACGGATGCAACGTAAGTAGCCTCCTGGATCATCCGACAGAAGTAATCTAGATTTCTTGTGTGGAAACATAAAATTCAGTGTAACGCCCTTCAGCTGATCGAATGAAAGAGTTGTGAGGACGCAAGTTGAGAGGATGAAGGTCATCCTCTAAGCAGGCTATCGAAAAAGAAAACAAACTTTTTTCAGCTGCGTTCTTTCAACATCATCACTATAATATCGATATCGTCTCCAGTTTCTCTATTCTACAGTATTTCACCTTCGATTGTTTTGGTTATTTTATTCAGACGATATCCTTAGTCCTTACAAATTTTTTTTGGATGTTCGTTCTGCAATCCTTCAAAAGTTGGTGTTATTGTTCTTATTCTTTCAGTAGTTCAAGCTATTATTTCGTTTCCCTACATCTTTCTGTTCTATTTTATCAGTTCCTTTTTTACCTTGTGTTCTTGTTCTGTCAATCACGTATTCTGTACTGTTTCTTGTTACTGCAGTTGTTTCGACAACACGTTTTGGCCTTTTTTTCTTTCTTCTTCCTCTGTCTCTTCTTTTCGTTTCTTCATTCGCCCTTTTGTCCTTCCATTTCCTCTCTTCTTCCATTCAGCACAATCATTAACGTTACACCCATACCCAACTGCTTCTTGTGAATATATCTACGATTCTGCAGACTTTATAAATGTGTAATTTTTTTCAGGGTGGCTGGTCTCTCAAATCGGTCGAACATCAACCTCAATAGAGAGATTCTATGAAAAGTTTATAGCGAAAAAGGACGGCAACTATTGCTCCAGCTCTTGCAGTCTGCCGATCGCCTACACTGAAAGAATGGTCCACGATGGAAAATGCGAAGAAAATGTCTCAGTGGAATGGTTGTGTCAGAATCAGACAACGAAATGAGTATAAAATCACCAAATGATTAGTAAACGATAGTAATGTTCGAAAAACTAGGAGACTGTCTAGGAGACTCTTAATGAATAAAGCTTATGATTGTATTATACTATATGACACACCGCACAATTATCTTCCCGTAACTGTGTACTATCTCATAACAAAATGTTGGGCTTATTTGAACTACCATTTTTCAAATACATTCACAAGTTTTATTCACAAATATTTCTTAAAATGCACAGTATGAAAGTTATAATCGAAGAGAATACTTCAAGAATTCAAAGGACTTCAAGAAGTCCTTTACACAGTAATTTTTGTTATATGTTAGGGTATGAATTAGAACACCATTAGAAAAAAATTGAAGCTTTTTCAAACAACGTATTAGTTATTCCAAAGGTACCAAATATCCCTCTTAGGGGTAAACTACAGCGACCAAAACTAAACTTAAAAATTGTCCAACTAAAATGAGCATTTTCGATTTTTTGTATTGTATGACCCCGTATATATAGCAGGACTTTCCGAACAACAGTATTTAATTGACACGATAAGGAAAAGGGGATGACCCGAGATTCCAACGAAGACGATAACTGCTTAATAACCAGTCCCGGCAGAAATCGCATCATTCGATTGCAAAATGTTCAAGTATCAAGTTATTCTGTGTAGTTTCTTCGGCCTGTGTGTAGCGAAACAGGCGAAATTCACTTTGTGCGGCTTCAGCGGTTTCAGTTGCAGTACAATCGGAGACGAACCTCAAACCATCACTTATCGATGTCCCAGTGACCAAAAAGTAAGTAGTACGATTAAACAGTAATTGAAAGATCATTAGAGAGAGCTAATAGTTCGAATAGATCACCAACCTAATCCCTGGAGGTTTTGGACTCGGCTGACGCATCGCGCCAGTCGCTAGCTCGTTATGCGTCAGTCGCTGGCTCATTATGCATCAGTCGTGGTTCATTAGGCGCGAGTCGGTGACTCATATACGCTAGTCGCTGGCTCATTATGCGCCATTCCTCCAGTCCAACAATTCATTATTGTAACAAAGACCATTCTTACATATCACCGCACTAGGCAACTATAGTTACTTTCACTATCAACAGCTAGTGACATCATCAAAATTAGGCGTCGAGTCTAGTGAAACAGGTACCAGGTGCTGCCTTTAGTGTTACAGGCGCAAACCACTAACAACCTTGAGAAGCATTTGAAAATATTTTCTATTTTTATTTTATTGGACTACTAGCATTCATGTACAGCGTTCTAACAATTACAACAACAAGTGGCAGCTTATGAATCAGTGTGAATTGATGTGGAATAAATATATTCAGCACTTCTCGTTTCGTACAATGGATTTAATATCCCCTGTTACCAAAGCCTCGATAGATAATAAAATAATCCTGAGGTGGATTAAAGGGCACGACAGAAGTGAAGGTAGTCGCATTGCCGACTCTACAGCCAAGGGGGCGGCTGGACTAAGAATTTTAGGACCCAGTGGCACCCACGGCCTGATGACTTCGACAATTGCGGAACGCAAATTCACCCCACCGGCTAAAACAAATTCACTCAGTGGCAGAAACAGTAATTACACGTTTAAGGAGGCTGGCAGACAACGAACACAAATAACGAGAGTTAAACACCATCGAGACAACTCTAAGAATGAATGCAGCTTACAAGATCACTTTGGAACAAGCCCAGATCTTCAATATCGTTCAAGAAGACCCCTTGCGTTGGTGTATCCTTGTGTTGCAACGGGTTCCAACTCGACGACAGAGTTGTTATCAGTATCAATAACTGAACAGAGTACATCAGCCAACTGGGCCGCTGCCTCAAAAAGAGAAATGATCCAATTCCTGCACACCTATAGTCAGGGACCATGCACAGGAGATCCCAACTCCTGATGAGTTTACAGGCCCGATCCAGTAGCATTCCGTCTTGTAGAAGCTCCAAACTCAAAAGTCCACGGACTCCCTGGTTTCGAGGAAATCACAACTGTGGAACGGACAATCTGGGATGCAAACTTCTACAAAACTCCTATCGTTATTATTATATTGGAGAACTGTCCGACTGAAAACAACAAAACTACCGCTACTACCTTTTCTACTTTCGTTACTGCCAACTGGCGTAGGGTAACATTATCGTCTCACCAATTCTGTTTCTCAAAGTTTAAGTGATATATTCAACGAGTTTTTTGTTCGCAACTAAACATTCTGTCTCAGATAATATATCCTAGATCGAAGTTGGAAAACCTTTCGAAATTAGTCCACTTTCCTATACAATTTTATTTCTCATCGATAGTCTTCAGCCTTATTTTGATCGGTTTCCTTTATATTCCAGGATATACTCTTGAAAATAAACGACTTCGAGAACCCACCAAACGGTGTATCGCTGATAATAGAAAACTGCCCGGAAATCACAGTCTCTTTCCAATGTTCCAGCCAAGTCAGATACCTACAATCGCTGATCATCAGAAACATAGGAACGCTAAAGATACAACAAGATCCTCAATACCAGACCCACCTACCACTCGAGGTGCTACTGCAAAACGTAACCTACATCGACGAAATTCCTGGTTTCGTTTTTTCCCAAGTGAATAAAGTGTCGCACAACGTCAATTGTGTCAGACCCGAATTCGATTTGAAGCTACTCCAGTTCGAAAATGTCCGCATAGGAACCATCCTAGCCAATGGGATTTATATGCCTAAAGATGCCGGTAACGTTGTTTTTAGTAACGTTGCCATTGGTAGAATGAAGAAAGACGCAATTTTGGCCAATATGACGATTTCGTACATTTTCCAAATGGAGGATAGTGCAGTCGGGATGATGGAGAATCAAGCGATTCAAGTATCCGGAAAAGGAATGATTTTTCAGTAAGGCAATCAAGATATTTAAAACAAAAACTCAAAAAACTGATCTACTGATTCTTTTATGTGCATGATTTCAATTTCTGATCCAGGACATTTATTTTCTGAATTATGCGACAGCATTTTTAGTAGACATTTTTTGTTTCGCGAAGAACACTCCCTAAAAAGTCATAGAGAATCCGGGCAAAAACCATAGTTTCAAAATTTCAATCTTCTCTAACGACAGTCGAAAAAAATTGTAATGACAAAACCGAATTCCAGAAGAAGGAAAACACAGACCGCTGTTTCAAGCGGCGATTTATTTGAATACGGACCTCATGTTATTTCACCGATTTTGTTGTCACTGCAGTAACAAATTCAGCTCCCGTGGGTTGGGCTACCTATCGGGCGCATCCCCAGGTGCCGGATAGGGGAACGGCCAGGGGATTGGAGGCCCTGTCCGGGAAGCCAATGTGGCCTCATGGACGGGTTCGTCGGACTCCTGGTCAGTGGCAGACATACATAGGGTGAGGGGAACTAAAACCCCCCAAAAGCTTTTGCAAAACATGCCACTGTGGAGCAGCCCACCCAAGCTGAGGTGTAAGGAATCGTGCCGACAGCGGAATGGCCGCAGAGTGATTGCGGTCACGAACGATTCCCTTGGGGAACTGGGCGAAACCTCATTGTAATAAGCCTACCTCTTCTAATGCGGGGCTCTGCCAGAGGTGACCAAATCTTCCCTTGCTTCTAGTGGGAACACACATGAATGAAACAATCACAAAAACAGAAAAAAACAAAAAAGTAAAACCAATCCCGAGGCTGGACGGAAGTGCTCACCTCAATCTAAGGTGGTGGCTGGGAATTAACAGAAATGTTCACCATCCACCCCAATCTACCGCTTGGAATGAGGCTGGACGTAGCAGATCACCTCCAAATGCAAGGGCACTTCCAGCGGCGGGCGCCAAGAGCTCCGCCTTGAATAAAGGCAAGGAACCGGCTGCCTCTGCAGGAAAGCTCCCTCACTAGTGCACCTCCACGGAGGAAACTTCAAGAAGGCTGAAGAAGGCGCCCAACGATAGTAATGTCGCTGCACCTTCCAAAACCTTCGCGGAGGCTTCCGTGAGACACCTCAAGGTTGCCAAAGAGAGTGTGTGTTCGGCGAGTCTTGGCCTACACCTGCCAATATGAAGGAGATGTCACCTAGTGACCTGTCGACCTTCCTGGAAAGGACATGATGGACGATGACCTAGGAGAACAACTCCTCAGGAGGATGTACAATGAGTCACATGTGGCTCTGAGTCTACACTCACTCTCCCTACAGATTTTCCAAATTCAGCTATGTATTACAATACAGGTCCGTATTCAAGAAAATTAAGTTGATAATGAAATGTAATGAACGAATTGCAGATTGGTTTATATCAAATTATAACAAATATGAAACAGTATTGAAAGTTCCTCTACCTTTCCTATATCTGTCGAAATGGAGGCGGTAGATCCAAAAATCGAAATTCTACAATTCTAGTTTTTGGCGAATATTTCAATAATAACCACTGATATTCTTGATCTGAAAGGAGATTTTCCAAATTCCCCGAAATAGAAAACTTTTGTCCAATTTAACCGACCTTGTGGGTCTTACATTTCCGAGATAGCAACAGTGAGATCAGCTAAAAAAAGGGCCTGTATATAATTGTTTTTTAATGTTATCTAATTTCTGAGGCCGATTTTCATCTCCATAACGTAATGAAATGACCCCTATTCTTCTCCACAAAAAATAAGTGTCATACAACATACGGATATAACTAAATTTCAAGGGATATATATACTACTTTGTTCAAAGTAGTCCCCCTGATTTATAATACACTTGTGCACTTTTTGGTATGTCTTCAGCAATTCGGGTTTTCATGGGTCCTTCAATCTTGGGAAAAGTAAAAAGTCGCAGAGGGGCAAATCTGGTGAATACGGTGGTTGAGGCATGAATACGGTGTTGTTTTTGGCCAAAAGAGCCAGAACAAGCAATGACGAGTGAGCAGGTAGAATTGTTTTTCCACAATACCAAACGTTGCTTTTCGCAAGCGACGCATAACTTCGAAATGATACTTCTTATTGACCTTACGATCATCTGGCAAGAACTTCTGATCCACTACGCCGCGGTAATTCAAGAAAACAGTTAGCAAAACATTGACATTTGATCGAACTTGGCGTGCTTCTTTTGGTCTTGGCTCTCCTGGGCTCTTCCATTGGAACTCTGGTTTCTATACCATAACCATATACCACTGATTCGTTACCAGTCATGATCCTTTTAAGCAAATCTGCAACGTCACCAGTCATGATCCTTTTAAGCAAATCTGCATCGCCGTTGACGTCATTCAACAATTCCTGAGCGATGCTCATGCTCTTCAACAACTTCTCTATAGCATCATCGATTGTTGACGTGCTAGGGCGTCCAGGACGAGCGTCGTCATTTGTAATAAATGTTTTTCTGACTCAGAGCACAATCACCGTATGTCACTGTTAACATTTCAAGTGTTTTTGAGAACTTAATTCCATTTTTTACACAACATTTGATGCAAATCATCTGATCCACATAGATTAGATTAGATTGTCGACCTTTTCAGATCTATTGTGATGCTCCTTGGTTGTTAGAGGCTATTGTCTAGCTTGATCTCTTTGTTGAGACTCCATAGCCTTGACACTGACCCCTTCATATAGCTGGCAGCCTTTGGCAGTGCGGTTTCGTCCTCTTCTTGACAAAACCTGCATTGGGCTTCATCTGCCAGACCCATGTTGCTCATACGTTTCCTGAGTCGGCTATGCTCCGTTAGTAGACCCACCACTACCCTCACAACCGTACGGTTGTGGTTTAGCAGGTCTTCCGTTAATCTGGGCGATGGTTTCTTCATGAACTCTTTCGCCAGCCTCGTTCCTCGGAACTTCTTCTACCAATCTATGATTCGGCTTGTATCCATGAATGTATGGATGTCTTTAAACATGCTTTCGCTACCCCGCAGAAAGGCCCTGGGCCGATCATAACCTCGGATACGCCTTCACGAGCTAGGACACTGGCCTCCTCATGACCCATGTGATCCTCATGTACCCAAGCTAGAGGACCCTATTTTGGGTACATATCTCAGACAACTTTCCACCAGTTTCGAGAAGACTTGAAATGAGCTGAGCGCCTCAACTGCCGCCTGGCTGTCGGAGACAATGGCAAAGGTTTTGTTTGTGATCTTCTACCTGTTTATTTCCCCCAGTAAAACAATTCTAACTTTTATGCCTCTTGCATGCTAATGTTGCAAATATTACCTAATTCGGTTAAAAATCCACAACTTACCCCAAAAAATGTCGCTAGTTCCTTTCTTCCACCCAATACGTTGGCAATTAGGGAAAATAGGAAGGTAAAATGGAGGAAATATGAACTCTAAACGAAAGTTCTTCCGAAAATTAGTAGTCTGAAAGTTCAATAACGTAAGCAATTGGGAGGATGATCATACATCTTGAGACCATTATACAACATAAAATGTCTGAATAAAGTAGGTAGATATAGAAAGACTTGGCGTAGCATAATGAGAGGACATTGAGGGTAGTTTTGTTCAATGTTGATGAGTCGAACAAACTGTTTTCAGAATAAAAAGAACATACAGTGACAACATTTTGTTTGCGACTATAGAGAAATCTGAATGCCCTTTTCTGCAGAACAAGTGCAGGCTCTAGTCGAGTTGGAGCACATACACCCCAGAAAAGTATACCATAACTTGAATGCGGTTCTACCAATGAGTAATCGACCGTTTCATCTGCAATTAATCGTAACTCTTTAGGAGTTATTTACACTGCATAACATCTAGACTGAAGTTTCTTATTGAGTAATAGTTTGTGATCCTCAAATACTCCAACTCATCAATAAATCAAATAACCTAAAAAAAACAATTCGTTCAGGCCAGTCAGAAAACTACTAGTCCCCTGGCTAATACCACTAAGGACGTTGAATCATATTCCATTCGATAATTAAAGGGTTGTGTACTTTTTTCTGAAGGTTTTTTTTCACGTTATATAAAATGTAATTTGAAAATTCAAAACTAATGAANTCTTTGAAACAATATTCTTCCCGTTTGACCAATATAAAGTTTTAGAAAAGATCCACGTCCCTTCTGTGGTGGCTCCATCAGGAGCCACCACAGAAGGGGCTTGATGCTCTCGACAGAAGAGAAGATCTGCAATCTAATGCAGATGTCCTTGTCATCTTGGCAAAATCCACCTCAGGAAGGATAGTTTGTAATATCCTCCAAAGTACCATGGACGTTGTTCACAGTTGGTGCCAGAAGAAGCAGATGTCTGTCAACCCCAGCATAACTATGATAATCCCGTTCACCTAGAGGTGAAAGTTGGACGATTTAATGCCACTTTTCCTCAATGGTGAGGTCATTCCATTTGGCATTGTCCTTGATGAAAAACTCACCTGGAACGCTCACTTAGAAAAAGTTTTAAACGAAGCCAGAGTGTCCTTATGGAAATGGTGAAGGATTTGTGGTTTAACTTGGGATTTAGGTCTCAAACAAATCCATTGGGTTTATGTGATGAATGTCAGACCAATAATCACTCAAAAAAAATTGCCTGGTGGCCGAAGTCTTTGCAGAAAACGAATCAGGCGAAGCTCCCTGGCTGACAGAGACAGGTTTGTCTGGCCATCTATGGTGCCATCAGTATCACACCCTCAGCGGCCATGGATTTCCTTCTAGATATACCTTCTCTCCACATTTTTCTGAAGAGAGGCTGCATATAGACTTGTTCACATTGCCAATTGCACAAATCAATCTAATGCAGATTACAATAGACTGCTGATTGATTCTGGAAGTCACAGCATTCTGTCAAGTCAATAAAAATAATCTCGGACAGTCAACGGCGTTGATAGCTCTTTACTCCTACCGAGCAACGTGTAAACTGATAGCAAATTGACAAAAACGACTCTCCTCAATAGGAAGACCTATCAAATTGGTCTGGATTCCTGGCCATACTGGCCTGGAAGGCAATGAGGCTGCTGACTCCCTCGGAAAGGA